CCTGGTGTGAGAATCGTGAGAACGCTATTTTTAATTATACGTAGTGCTATGATGATTGTGTTTTAATGCTATTTGTAATCATGATGTATTTGATTAAAAATAGCAACACAATTTATATTAGCATTTGTGAAAATAATAGCACACTGTAATATTAAAAATAACAATAAACATAATTAAAAATAGCATCAAATACACCAGAACTAGTTTTTATTTGAACCAGACCCTATATATATATGTGTGTGTGTGTGTGTGTATATATATATGAGACTATTTTTGTTTTTCAAATTATGAGATATGATAAATACCAAAAGTTGTGTAGAATCACATCTGTGTATATTTTTTTAAAATAGGTATACAAAATATTTTATTTTAAAATTATTTACATAATTTTAAATTAATTATATTAATAAATACTATTAATGTAGATTAAGTAATTTTCATTACATAGAGATGGTTCTAGTTCGTCGGATATTTATTGAAATATTTGTAACACCAACTATATAAACTAGATTAAGATGAGCTAGGTTAAAATGTTTGAGCTATGATTCATACTTACTATTTGACCTCGTGTTTGGACTTCAAAAACAATTCAATGAATTCTGGAAAAAAAAAATTGAAAAAAAGAAAACTATTTTATAACTTTTATAAATAATAATAATGATATTATACGACAAGAAATTCTAGACTAAAATAATAAGTGAGTATTATATAGTGATCAAGAATAAGTAAAATTGTTGTTTTCTATTATATCAATAAATAAATATATATACTAAAATTAAGAATGTCTTAACGGGATAATATATTAATTAACTTACAGACTATCCCTTATAGACTTATATTTAATGTTCTGGCTCAAGAAAACGACACTGATTAAAATATATTAAAAATGAATGATCGAATCCTATTATTTTTGTGGCATAAACGGACAAGCCACACGAGAATGACTCATTTAATAGCTTTATCATGTGCATAACATGAGTCATGGACTAGTTGTATATAGATAAGATTAATATAAAATTTTGGTATAAATTACGTATTTTTTTTCCCAAAAGAGTTATTTCCATTTTTAAAACCCTCCAACCATGCACATCCCCTATATATAATTTCTGAATATGCTAAGCCTAAGTGGTAGTCTCGCGTGTTTCGTGATCTAGATGGCAAATTTTCATGCTCTGCCATTTGGATTGGATGGATTTTAACTAGATATTTATGGTCTGTTTTAAGAGCATTAATATTACATTTTCTATTTTAGATGTGATTTATAAGATATAATTCATTTCCCTCAATCTTTTTTTTTCTTCACCTTTCTTTTAAAATTATGAAAAAATTACTAACTTAAATTATAAGTAGATTTAAAAATTTATAATTTTTTATTTATTATCAATTTTTTATACATAATATACAAGTTAATTATGTCTTGATGATCTTCGATTTGACACCTATATTGTACATATTAAATAAATAAATAATTATATTTATCTTTACAATAAAAATAAAATTACCTATTAACATAATTAAAAAATAAAATTATTTAAATCAATTTAACTACAAAGTAGTCAAATGATATAACTTTTAAAAAATATAATATACAAAAGTAAGTCGTATAAGTGAATGTGTTATATTAAATATAAACAGTAATATAGTCATTAAGAAATATTTTAAAAATATAACAATTTTTTATTAATTTTAGTTCTAAATATATATATATTTTTTTAACAAACACCTCGTATTGTGCTAGTATATAACAATAAACAGTTTGTTGTAAATAAATGGTTGCTTTCATGTTGTCAGCACAATGAGATTTTATGCATTTTCTATTATGAAAACGAGAAGTCGTCATTACTTAATGTGAGAACATGTACCACACGCAAAAGCGGAAAACGTAGTTGATAAACAAGGATGTAATATTTGCCTATTTGGAGTTATTCTACATTGACCTATGATGGAGCAAGTTATGGCTTCAAATATTTCGTTCTTATCTACAATTATTATATGCACTTGTTTGGATATTGCTTGATTTTTATGAGTTAGGGGATAACTAATTGTATTATTTGATTTGAATTATGCTATTGTGTAAATAAAATTATGATAAATAGAAAAAGTAATAGATTAACTTTAACCTTTATCTGTATTTTAGTATCGAATATACTCTACTTTAGAGTAGAGTAAAACAAAAACTAAGTTATCGTGAATCATTCGTGTTATATTTGACTCCATATCAAATATTCTTCTTTTATCTTTATTATTTTAAATTATTTTAGTATCAGAATATAATTAGATATATCATTTTATATATGTTTATATATTTAAATTATCAATACCTAATTAATAAGTATAAATAAATACAATAATATTTATGTAAAGATTATTTTAATAAAGTATATTATTTTTATAATACTCAATTTATTTTACACCAAATATAAATATTTTGTCTGAATATTATATTAAAATAAATAAAAATATAAAAACAAAGAAAAATGTAAACAATTGTACAAAGAAGCAAATGCTATAGTGTTGTGTTATATTTGGAGCAAGATAGAATTTTGAAGTTCCTTCCGCATTGGAAATAATATGGGGTGTATTCATTTAGAATTTCTAAAGACTTTAGAAATTTTGGTGTATTCAATTTAGATTTGTTAAGACATTTTAAGACTTTTAAAAATCTTGGGGTATTCAATTGGGATTTTAAAAAGTCTTACAAAATCTGAGGTATTTATAATTTATTTGATACTAGATTTGTTAAGACTTTTTAAGATTTGATGGGATTTCTACACAAAAAAAACTTATACGAAATCCCATTTCAAATCATATCTCCAAACTTAAGGATGGTATATTCAATTGGGATTTCAAATGACATTTTGGGACTTTTTAAGATTTGAGATTTGTTAAGATTTTCAGATTTTGGAAAAATTCCGTGAAATCCTAGGTCTGGATGTGGGATTGAAGTAGGATTTCGTATAAGGTTTTTTGTTTAAAAATTCCATCAAATCTTAACAAGTCTTAACAAATCTTATTGTCAAATAAATTAAATACCTCAAGATTTTGTAAGACTTTTTAAAATCCCAATTGAATACCCCAGATTTTTAAAAGTCTTACAAAGTCTTAAAAAATCTAAATTGAATACACCAGGATTTCTAAAGTCTTAAAAAGTCCTTATAAATCCTAATTGAATACAAAGATTTCATATAATTTCTCCAAAATCTGAAAATCTTAAAAAGTCCTAAAATGTCACTTAAAATGTCAATTGAATACACCCGAATTAGTGAATTACTAAATACCGGTCCCCCTAAAGACTATTTTGCCCTTTTTCATTTTTTTTAAAAACATCTCCCTCTCTTCTCTCGTCTCTCTCTCTCGCCAACCTTCGAAAAATTCCGAAAAAATGTCAAGACAACCCTCACGCAAGGCAAGGGATTATTTATTCCAGATAATTTTTAAAATTTTTTGTTTTGCTTCTTATTATTCTTAGATTGTTGTGTTTTTTTAATACCCTTTACCCAAAACGGTATTGATATATTTTAGAATTTTAAATCCAAAAAACTAATTAAATGATATTTACAAATAAGTTAATTACTAATGAATTTGATTAGACAAATCTATAAATCATGTTGAATCTGCTAACCAAACAAGTCAATAGCCCATGAGAAAAAGATGAGGATTTTTTCCTTTTTTTTTTAAATAAAAATTTATAAATAGCTTCTATTTCTTCTAAATATGGGGAAAGGTTCGTATTCCAAATAATTTTTACTGCAAGTATATGATCATATGTGTATAAACCAAGATCGAGATAACCCATATACATGTAACTAAATATATTCCATTATTTTCTTAAAAAAAATATATATTTCCTTCTTCTTCCAACTTAAAGAAACTTTGAAATTCTTTTCGGGTGTTTTAAAAATCCTAATTTGATAGGTGATACTAAAGTAAAAACGTTATTTTTGGAAACTCAAAATCATCTCAAAAATAAATATGAAAGTGTATCTCAAACCGAGATTCGCGTTTTAACTTTCAAAATACTCCCAAGATATTAAGAGAAAATCTCTTATACTTAACTTGACCAATTTAAGAGCATCTCTAATGCATTCTTTTAAAAGAGTAAAAAGTTATCCACCTCATCTAGATAGAAAGTGTGTAAATAATTTATCCTCTAATGCATTAGATTATGGGTCCTTTCATGCTTATGTGTAATAAATTAATGTTAACATTGTGAAGCTCACTTTCTAATTTCTCACATTCTTTCTAACATGATGACTCAACATTTTGATAATTATTTGACACAAATTTTGAGTTTTTCATAAACTTGGAAAAAACTCACCTTTACATTTATCCAAGAAAACATTTGAGAATTTATTTGAATACAGTATAATTATTTGATGAGTTACAACTAAAATTTAAAAAAGTTATCAATAATAATGTCCTGAAAAGTAAAATATTATGTTCATGATATTTGTTTGTTGAGTTATTGCAATTTTAATATTTTGTTGTTTTATTTTGAACCGATTAAAAAAATATTTATTGTGTGGTTATACATATTGTAACTGAGAAATTATTGAATAAATAATAATTTTATAAATTTGATGATATAAATAAAAATTAATTGAATTAACAAAAAATAACATCATGCATATAATTATTGGAATTTGTGGTTTTTTTTCTAATATACTCTTTGATTTTATTAATAATTGAATAAATCTACATATACAAATTATATGGTTGTTGAATGGATGCATTGGAGGCAACAATTCAAATGAAAGTCCTATTCTTTTAACATTAAGTTCATGTAGATTAAACATTAATCCATTGATTGACATGTATTCAAATTTAATTAATGTTGAAAGTTGAACATTGGAGATGCTCTAAGTCCATACCCATCCACAGCCACCAAAGGGTGGAGCCCTCAAAGTCCACGTGGCGCAAACCCACTAGCAGACCACCAAAAGTGTCCCTATACCCGCGCGCAAACAATCCGAACCCCACACACAAGTCCTGGGCACGACCAATAAGCCAATAATACTAACAACATTGTAACGCTGGCTGCACAACTAATGTTGAATTTTTCTTTATTCTTAAGACAATTTTTTTTTTCTCCCAAACTCGGCGTGTTTATATATACGTGCATTTAAATCGTTGAATAGGTTTTGAGAATGACGACGCAACAACGAGAAGAAAGGAACTCTGTTTTTGTTTTCCTCTTTCTCTGTATTTTCATACCCTTTCAAATTATCCTGAAGTCCAGCGAATTATCCAATTAAGGTTGTGCGTGGGATGTTTTCTTGAGATTTTTTGGCTGATGCACCATGAAATCGTATAATTCTGTAAGTATACCTGTTTTCACTTTATATATAAATATATTGCTTTTGAAGTTCCTATTTTTCTCCTTATTATGCATGACGCACTTTTCTCTCTATCTATTTGTATACTTTTGTGCTTATGTATTTTGTTTATGTTGAGGTTGTGTGAAATTTCGAGTTGAATTCACTCTGACTGATCAGTTATTTAGGGTGATTTATTTTTATTTGTTGTCAAGTTTGGGATTTTTATGGTCGTATTTGTTTCCTAAACAACTGCTAGAATTTCTGCAAACACTTGTTACATTTATAAGGTAAAAAGTTTGACTTATTTGGAACTTACTAAGATTTTTATGGTGATGGTCAATTCTGTATGATCAAAATTTGACACTTTTCTGTTTATTTATTATGAAATTGTTGTTAACCAGGATTAGGGAGAACTTTTGTTGCTCAATGTGATTTGGCATTCATGAGTTTGTTATGACCAAATTCGTCGTCCGTATTTTAATTTGCCAGAGTTGTTCGAGAATTAAATGCTCCCAACTTATTTCTCACCTTTTTATAACTTTTTTTTTTTTTTTTTTTTTTTTTATTTTTTACATTTTTTCTACTGAATGGCTTTCTCATCGTCAATCGAAGATATCATGTGATTATTTGTCCGAGTGGCCGTGCAGTAACAAATTGTAGATTAGGCGAACAGTGGCCCGAAAAATATTTAATTAACACAACATCATAACAAGGGACCTTTTTGTATTTGAGACGGTTGATATTAGTGTTTGATTTTTGCATAGTTACGAATTTTTACCGACACCTGATTATATTTGATGCTCAAATTGTTGTTTACTTGTCCCTTTTTGCTTATGTTTTCAGGTTCATGTAATATCTGATTCAAAGAGCAGATCATGTATTTGCAGCCTCTTTGTCACCATGTCTTTGATTTGTGGCGCTTACTTCATATGCAGTGCATGGCGTGGAAATGAATTTTTTAGTGTAGGTGTTTTCTTCTCAAACCAATCTATTTAATTATTTCTTATTTACGATAAAGCGTGATTTGAGATTTTGATTCTTGCAATTTTATCCTTGCAGTTATCAACTGAACTTGGACTCAACACCACAGAACAGTATATGGACTCTGTTCAATGCCAGGTAGATTTCACAAAACAAATAATACTATACTTTTATTGGCATCCTGAATTTGTGGAAGAAGTTACATTTGTTTACTTGGATTAGAATGTTGGAAATATTCTTATGATTGACAAATAGAGGGTACATGTTGCAATTTATACATTTTTTTTTTTCTCATTTCCTTTTACTCCAGATGAATGAATTTTACTTGGGATCAGCTTTTTTAGATAGCTTATCGGTCATGAAGATTAATAGAGATTTTCTCCCTTTAAAATGTTCATGAACAATTAAAAATGGCTATTTTCTGACTTGTAGAGTATTTCACTAGCATTTTCCTTACTTATGAACTTATTGTAAATGATTATCAAATCTGCGTTTACAATTGCAGGTAGCACCAAAAACGGACATTGAAGTGAACGTTACGGAAGAAAACAAACCCATCAAGAGATGCAATGTTTGTCATCTGTTTAGTCTTTTTCTCATTCATAATAATTTTCTCCTACAGACTAATTCTAACTTAGTTGATATTAAATTTTGCCATTCAGGACAAATGCAGGCCCTTTGGAAGTGAAGCTTTGCCAAGAGGTATTGTATCTGCTACTTCAAACTTGGACATGGTCAGTTTGGCGGGCCCACTTTCAGACGACGTATGTATTACTAATCATTACTGGGCAACAACTTGTCGTAGATTTTTTTTTTTTCTTTTTATTTACGTTGTGCAGCATTTTTTAATCAGAACAAGTCGAAGAAAACAAGTTTGCTGGCCATAGCAGCTGGGATCAACCAAAAAGTATTGGTGAATAAAATTGTNTTTACTCTTTTAAAAATATAGATATACATTACTTCTTTGTATGTGGTGGATTTGCAGTTTCTGAAAGAAAATTTTGTTGTGATGCTTTTCCATTATGATGGCATTGTGAACGAGTGGAACAATTTTGAATGGAATGACAGAGTCATTCATGTCACAGCCAAAAGTCAAACAAAATGGTATGTTCTCCAAGAGATTCTAATAAATCAAAATGAACCTTATACCATTTTCCATTTAATGAATAAAAAAAATATCATTAATCTTGTTTTTTATATTTTTGACTAATGATTAGGTGGTTCGCCAAGCGTTTTCTGCACCCAGATATTGTTTCTGAATATGAGTACATTTTTCTTTGGGACGAGGACTTGGGAGTAGAAAAATTTCATCCAGGAAGGTAATTGGACTTTTAGTGTTAGCTGATTGTACTTATAGTGAATCCCTAAACATGAAGTATATAATGAATGCTATCTACTTATACACAACATTCTTTTTTCCAAAATAATATAATTATTATATGCATCTTTTCAAAGTTGAGAAATCGCGCGTGGAAATAGTTTGATGACAATTGTTTACGTGTAACAGAACATTATTTGGAATCTCATAAGCAGTTATTCATTTTTTTTTTTTTTTTCCATTTTTCATTTTTCATTTTCTTATATATATTTTGCAGATATGTATCTATTATAAAGGAAGAAGGGCTTGAGATTTCACAGCCTGGCCTCGACCTTGGTAAGGTGCATCATCAAATTACCGCGCGACACCAAAGATCAACGGTGCACAGGTCAGCAGAATCTAATTCAACTTCACAAATATTATCATCTGCCTACTTTCTTCATCAAGTATTTTCAGATGGCCCTGATTTGATTTATTTATTAATTCTATAAAAAACAGAAGATACTATAAGATTGGTACATGCGACAGCAACAGTACCAATCCCCCGTGCGTAGGGTAAGTGTACAACTTAGCTTTTCTGATCTTTAATATGCGTAATTATTCAGTTTGTGGCTTTCAAACTAGAAATATATATATATTCGTAAGCTCGAAATACAATTGCTTCTTTATCTTCTCATTAAATATTTTTCTGAGAATTTGAGTGCAGTTGGGTGGAGATGATGGCCCCCGTGTTCTCAAAAGCTGCTTGGCGCTGTGTTTGGTATATGATCCAGGTACTCTCTACTTTCTCAACAAATTGTCTTGCAAAATGAATGATTAAAAACAACTACCTACTTGAATAAATTTTTTTTTTCTTAGTTGGAATTTAATCTAAATCCCCTTTGCAGAACGATTTGATCCATGCATGGGGCCTGGATATGCAACTCGGTTACTGTGCACAGGTAAGCTCTCTCGATTAGAGAGTTAGAGTATTTGCGTCTCGTTTTTTACTTCTATTGTATGGGAAAATTAATTTATCCATGTAATTTACAGGGTGACCGAACAATTAAAGTTGGTGTGGTAGACGAGCAGTATATAGTTCATCACGGTCTTCCTACACTTGGTGACACTAATGTAACCAACTTTCTTTTCTTTTATATTACCTTGAGATCCAAGATTTTCACGATTAATCCAAATTTCACCATTTTTTACCATAAATTTATTCTTTTCGGAATTCGCAGGCAAGTTCTGGACCTCCCAAAGTTACCGATCGAATCAAAGTAAGTTTCATTTCAAACATGTTATCAGTTTAGTTTAACTTTCTTTCTTTCTTTTTTTTCTTTCTTTTCCAAATAATGTATTATCTGCATAAATATTTCAATTTTTGACATTCAAATGTTGGCATGATATTGTTTGTGCAGATTCGATTACGATCATATAATGAAATGAGGGCGTTCAGGAATAGATGGAACAGGGCTATTAAAGAGGACGAATGTTGGGTCGATCCCTTTGGAAAAATTCGTGGATAAAAATTATATAAACACACGGATATATATGTTTAGTTTTCTATTCAAGACATTGTGATCAAGTAAGCAACAAAAGGCCGAACAACAACACATGTACAGAGGCAAACAGAGATACAATGGCACTTTTAGTGTAGATTCTTTGATTCTGATACGAATGAATAAATATTACAAGGAGCACACAAACTCAAATTTACACATGTATCTATATTTGGATCTTTTTTGGTTATTTTTTATGTTTATATGATTCTTTTTTCCCTGATAAAATGGGAGTGAACATGTCTTCGATATTGTTTTGGAACTAACTGATAATGATGCTGATTTGATTGATAACTTCTTCGGAGTAATAGTTTTTGTTGATTTTTTAGTTATTTGGGTTATGTTAATTTTAGAAAATGGCTTGTAAAACGACAAGGAAACGGATGTCCATGATTGAATGCCATCAAGAGAAAAGAGATACCGTAAAATCATTATTGTCTTAATTAATCTGAGCCCGATATATGTAAGGGAATACATTGTATGATTAATCACGCCCGATATATATAAGGGAATACATTTTTTGTTTTTATTTATATATATATAAGGGAATAGATTGTATATGATTAATTACCTTCTGACCCATACCTATAAAACTTATATTTAGATGATGTCCACAAATCTATATCCTATATAATTAGGAAAGTAACATTCCATTTTTGTAAAGTTGCATTTGCAAGTCCCACTTACTACTTTCTATTTTTGAAAAGTCAATTTTTATACATGGGCCACAGTAATATTTTTATTTAAGAGCACCTCCGATGAGAACTGTGAAGTTCACAGATAAAAATTAGATGTCATGTCATTTGGGTTGACACCGTCTCTATATTATTTCTTCAAGTGCGCTATTTTGTCGTTAGAGGGCTGACACTCAAGGCTAAGAGGCTAAGACATAGTCAAAGGTAGCTTCAGGACCAGGTGGTGAAGAATGGCAATCCTTGGTAGAACTTATTTATGATTTCGTGTCGAACCTGGCAAACAAACAAATAGGTGGTCTTTCCGGAAATGTTAACCAAAAGTTTTTCCCTTTCATCTCGGTTACTTTGACTTTTTCGTTATTTCGTAATCTACAGGGTACGATACCTTATAGCTTCACAGTTACAAGTCATTTTCTCATTACTTGGGTCTCTCGTTTTCTCTTTTTATTAGCATTACTATAATGAGATTTCAGAAAAAATGGGCTTCATTTTTTAAGCTTCTCATTAGCCACAAGAGTCCCACTGCCGTTAGCACCTTTTTCACTACTCCCTGAGTTGATCCCTCATTAACATAAAACATATTTTCCATAAGACGAATTAACACCATTAAATACTCATGGTTAGAAGCAAACGCCTCCAAGATGCAAATGGGGCTGCGATGAGCCAACTGCTCGCAAATGGGGCTGCGATGAGCCAACTGCTCATAGGTCATCACTCTGCGCGCGGGCCCCTTTCAATGATTGCACGCCAAACAAGTCCTCGGTTAGTCCCCAGTTTCCTTGAGCATCGAAAAACGTGATCTTGTGGATTCTAAACATCGTTGGCCGGAGCTCACTCTCGTCAAGTCTAGTTAATTTTGAAGTACTGAAACTTATTATTTTCTATATTTTAACTATTTTATTATTTAAATATAATTTTTCATTCACCATAGAACAAATTTAAAATATTGTTAAGCTTTGTATTTACAATACAATATCAATTTTTTTTCTTTTAACCTTGTTGTTGTTCTTGTTGTTTGTAGAAAACTTGTAGGATATTCGTGTATTACGCATGTCTTAGTTGAAAAATTTATACTTAAACAAAAAAATAGAGAGAAGTCAATTTTGAGTTTCAAATAATGTAGATAAAAAACTACATTATTTTTTATATTCAAAATTACACTTATCACTTATACGACGTACCCGTCTAATACTATAATATACTTTCTAACACATATCATATGATGACTCTATAGCTAATTTCGAAAAGCAAAAACCCTAGCCTGCTTCGCCATTTGCCTTCCCCGACGTGGGCTCCGGGCGCCTCGACAGTGGTCGGTTCCTTGCTTACGGCGCGACTGAGATTTGAGGACAGAGCCCATTTTCTCGAGAGATGGAGTCGGTCAGCGTTCTCGGGTGGTTCTCGGCTCCTGTGGCTGCAATCCCCGGACGAAGACCACCGATTTCCATTGCGGCGAGACGGAAGAGGGTTGCGGTGTTGAGTTGGGGGCGAGTTGTGGCCGTTTGCCGCATAGGTGGACGGGGCGGATGTCGGTGGATGCCTCCCCTTGTTCTTCTCTCCCCTGGTGTTAGGGATGGAGGATCTGCTGTCGCGCTGGGCTTGGCTGTGGTGTTGGCTGGGAACGGGGTGGTGGTGTATGTGTGGGGTGGAGCTGGTCGATTGATCTTCGACAGGGAGTGGGCTGTGGTCGGCCGCGGCTGGGGTCGTGGGTTTTGACTCTAGTTAGGCCGGGTGTAGCAGTTTCTGGAGTTGAAATTCGGTCGTGGTCCGGTCTTTTCGGTGTTCGATCGTGGTGTTACCGATGAAGCTCGTCGGTGATTTAGTCCGGTTGGAGGAAGGGCTCTTTTCTTGTTTTTGTGTTTTTTAGGTTTGGGTGCTTGTGCTTTTTGTGTTTCTTTGTGTTTTCCTTTTCTTTCGTTTGTGTTATTATCCTTTTGGACTCCTGTTGGGAGTTGGTGTTATTATCCATTTTGGTATTTAGATTCTCCTGTTGGGAGTTAGGTTTATTATCGTGGTTGCGTTGTGGTGTTTAGACTCTCTTGTGATGTCCTCTTACTAGATTCGGCCTTTGGTTGTCTCCTAGTTGTAATTATGTGTGTTATTTTATAAAATTTCTATATTTTTGGAAAATAAAAAATTGAAGCCGTCAAGGAATGATTAATTTAATATATCATATATAAAAAATATTAATATTAAAAAATATTTATGATTTAAGTTATTCAAATATTTTATAATTTTGAAAAATCCGTATATGCATGGATAGAAGTACATACATATATGGACTACAACGATGCACCACAAATTAACAATAAATGATTAATTTTATATATATATAAAAAAATATCTTTTTAAAATATATTCATAATCTAAGTTAATAAAATATTTTAGAATTTAAAAAATTTTAATAGACAAGTATAGAAGTACATATCAATATACAACTACAGAAAACCATATATTGACACATGAAATTGCGAAAGACAATAATTCAGCACATGAAATCACAAATTATAAAAAATTAAAATACGAACTTGAGCAACTCTATATGAATATATAAGGAGGGATATTGATGAGTTAATTTAAAATAATTAAGTGTGACATAACATCGATAGATAACGATTAGGATTAGGTTGGGTGCACCAACCTATGTATATAAATAATCTCACGTGGATGTTGTGATTTGATTACGTGTTATTTCTGACTTTATTTCTTCTTTAGGTTAGGACGTTGGCCACGTCACGTTTTAATATTTGGTTGGCTCAAATAATCCTGTGGCACAGAAAGCAGTGGCGGACTAATGCCGGGGCCTAGGGACCTTCTTTTGGTAAGTATTAGCATCAATTATGCATAGTTTTTAAATCATGAAGTCGAGTCGGGTAGCCCTCCCGATCTCTATGTCTTGGTTTCAAAACTATCGAGTCAATTGTTAAATTAAGTAATTAACTTGAGAT